GTTTACATGCACTCTCAATCGTATTAGAAAAGGAATAAACCACCTCCTTCAATCCGGATCGATTAATGTGTTTACATGAAGGCTTTTCAGTCCGATTGAGCCGTCAATCCGATTACAAACTGATTATTTGGTTGCATGTAAACGTAGCCACTGTGATGGTTACGCCACTTACAGGTTGGGCAGTTTCATTTCCCACCACTAGAGGTTGTTATATTTGGGAAGTGCCTATATTATACATTCTATTAAAGAGAAATAAGCATCCTGAACTAAGGGGACATCTTGCAAGCATGGTCAGAGAAGTATTTTACAAATTGACAAGTAAATTGCAATTTGCAATGCTTGACTGAAGTGTTATGTGTCTGTTTTTCTGAAAAAAAATTACTTATTTTGTTTGGAGCTTGCACACTGCCTTCAAAGCACTTTAACTAAGTGTTGTAAAAGCAAAGTGTTCTAAAGAACTAAAAGGACTTTCAAAGACTGAGGAAGTGGTGATAGGATTTCACCACAGGCCTTACCTGTTTTCTTTTTTGTGGGTTTTCCGTGTCATTACATTCCACAGAGTGGAGCAACCTCAGATCATTCATTTGCTTTGCAGGCTGTTTATTGCTTTCTACATGTTGAACTTTTTTTTTTTTTTGTCTTCCCATTGGTTTTGTCACTACTCAGTTGCTACGAATACATTGCAATTATTGTTCCTGCTTATATACCCAGTCTCATATACTCATTGACTTTCTTTTGTGTGTTCATACCAATGCATAAAAAAGAATAGGCTGAATGAAAATATAAATGCACTTGCTGTCAGTGGGGGACTTACAGAAAAGCATAAATACCCCGGGTTGCTGTATGCAACTTTCCAATTCGAACACCTGCTTGCGACGGAGATTAAAGTAGAAAAGTAATTACATGTTTTCAAACAGCCGTTTTTTTTTTTTTTGCTGAAACACCATGTAAAGAAAAAAAAAAATACAGCGTATGGATGAAATGGTCTATATACAGTATAATAATAGTATAATAGTTTGAAGATAAACCACGATAAAATGTCTAAACCGAGTTAATATTACATTTTCAATTTTAAATGATCATTAAAACAGTATTTTATTATCGCAATTTGAAAAAAAACTTAAATAGGCTACTGCTCAAGGTAAGAGTTAAACTTTGTAGGAAAGTGAACCCCGAGGGCCAGAGTTGAGAACCTGCCCATTTGTGTTTAGTGTGTGTAATGGATAGTGCTAATTGATTGAATACACACAGAAGGTATATTGTAGGGTATTTTTGTTTTGTTTCTGAGTAACTGTCACTGATCCTCTGCTAGTTCTTGTTGTTTCCATGACAGCAGTGGCTTTAGTCTGACAACTGTTCTTTTATGCTGATTCCTATGAAAATACTACCTCAGACCTTTTGTCTCGGTCCAGAATTTGCATGGCTATGTTCCTATTTAGCACAGTGTCTTCAAGGCAGCCATGACATTGCTGTATTTTCACTCGAATGTCTTAGTGCACTGCTGCTGTTTCCCAGACTTTAACAAAGGTTAGGGCTGTACGATAAATCGCATGCGATATTTAACGCGCATCTTGTCAGTAAAGCCGGTTCTGTAATCAGCGGTAACACAACGGCACGTGCGGGCTTTCACATGGAGCAGCATTTACTATACAGAGCCGTTGTGTTACCGCTGATTACAGAACCGGCTTTACTGACAAGATGCGCGTTAAATATCGCATGCGATTTATCGTGCAGCCCTAACAAAGGTTGTCATTTTTAAGCCTCGTACACACCGGGACGATT